AGATGGTGAGAACCAAGGTACATCTTTCAAATATTAAGTTGATATTTATTTATCAAGTTAAAGCATGAATAGCAGAGAATACTATTGTTTCTGCCAGACTAGGAGGGAGGGATCTCTGTGTACATGCAATTATACAGATATAATTTCACACATGCATCAGGAGAAAGAAAGCTTGTTATTATAACTTATTCTTTATATTCCATCTGTATGAGAAGGGTTTTGACTTTATAAAAGTTGTATACTGTAATGTGGAGAAAGTAAAAATGTCTGTAATTACTTAAATCTGTATACACAGTCATTAGAAAAAGAGTGTTGGAGCTTTGACTATTATTAGGTGTAGAACCCTGCTTTATACAATGGATTTTTCAGCTGCAATGATATCGGCATAATGCTTTCAGATCAGAGTATCATACATTTCTGATCTGTTGTTCTTTGTAGATTATTTCCTCCTTGTTCAGATCTATGAAAATTATTTGACTACATAGATATATGCTAAATATATTCAAAAGAGGAGATGCATAGATTCTGTGAAATGTATTCAAAAGAGGAAATCCACTGAAAGCATATCTTTGAACTTCTTTCAAAGAAGTTCTTTTTTATTCTATTTTTTATTCTGTATTTAGAATTTAAGTATAGCTTTTATAAAACATTGTAATTATCAAACACTTGCTTCATCAGCTTTTGAAAGTTTTAATCATGAACAATTAATCCTAAAGTACTCTTTTTAACTATACAAAGAACATTAAATAATTTAATGTTAAATAATTTTAACTATGCAAAGAACGTTTAGTAATTAATATTAAATAACATTTTTAAAAGTAAAGATGGAAAAGACCAAAAGAATAGGAATATTTTCAAATATTCTCAATATATACAAGTTTCCAAATATTTGGAATTCAATGCTCCAATGGTTGTAAGTGTGAAGAATGGTCATAAGTCACTTTTTTCAGTGCCACTGTAACTTTGAATGGTCACTAAATGAACTGTTGTAATTACCTGAACAAAAATACAAAAAACTTATTTGCTTGCAAAAAGCTGCCCTAAATACCAATTATTAGATTAAAAATACCTGCAAGCTGGAGTTACAAATCAGGCAGGGTGTCAGAGCACCTTGAGGAATGAAAATAGTTAAAATGCAGTGATAACTATCAAGCAGCCAACCCTTGATCATAAAGTGAAACCCTTTAGCAGAGAGGTCATTTAAGCGTTCCAGAAAAAGCACACCCAGGAAAAGCAATCCTTAGATCCATTTGCACCACTTAAAGATACCAGCTGGTCTCACTCACCTCACAAGATATCCTAAGAAAATCATCCAGATTTAAGGAAAGGTCACATGCCCTCCACGAAGGCAGTAAAAAAAAAGTCAGTGCCAAGCTTGCATCCTGCCTCTTGGAAGTATACCCCAAAAGTACAGTGCCAGATACCACTAAAGCAATGAAGGAAGACCCCCTCCCCAGATAGAAAAAGAAACCCTGAGGCAGGAAAAAATTCAAACACAATACAAATTATTAAATCGCAACAGTAGATGTTGCTTGTTAAACCAATTACCAGAACAAATAGACACAGGAACTAGCCAGATTTCTCAACCAAGTTTCTTTTCGGGAACAGAGATTAACCTTTTTCCTTCCAAACAAAGCTGAATAGGGAAAATTATCCCTTCAATAAACACGGGATTAAACATCACCAAGGTCAGAATTAAACTTCACCAAAAACCAGTTTTAGACTAAAACTAAGAAAGGGTTTGTAAACTCATGTTTGAATGTCAAACTTTCTAGCTAGCCAAGAAGCCTTGCTCAATGTCACTCATCTTGGTTCCTTGTCATTAAAAGCTCCTTCCTGGTTATTCAATTATTTCTTCAAAGTGCTGATTGTTACATGTGGCTGGAAGTATATCCAATGGCAGTGTAAAAAATGTAAAACAATCCTTCCCCTTTAAGAAAGTAAAAAAAAAACAACCCTGCTTCGGAGACATAAGTCTAGGTATACTGCCAAGAATGTAATAAAGGTGGAAAAAAAACAAAAGGAGATTTCTTCTAACTACCAATTCTCCAAACTGTTTAGAAAGTTAACAAGAGGTTCTATAGAACCAGTCAGAACTGGTTGAATCGCACCCTGGATGGGAGGCTTGCCTGGAGGAAAATCTGATGTGGTGGCTACTGGTTCTGGTGATAGGATTGGATTCGTTGGCAGTCTCTTGCAATCTCCTCTTTTTCCTCCATCTTCACTGAGTCTTTGCACTGCCCAATGAGCAGATCGGTACTGGGGCTCAGCATCCCAGACAGCCCTCTCTTGGGCTGCTGTTTGACAATTTTGAGATTCAGGTTAATGTCAGAATTCCAGGAAACAAACTCCAACTCACAAAACTCCGAGACAGGCACAGGAATATCACAGCATGGAATCTTCTGGTGCTAATATGGTTTCCAAAGCTGACGCTGATAATAGTTGGTGAACCTGAGGAGTTGCTGGACATCCTTCACTTGCTGAGGAGGTTGCCAACTGCACAGAGGCTCAACCTTGCTTGGCTCCATTGCAATTCCCTCAGGAGAGATGTGATGTGATGGACTGAAAAAACTGGCATTTTTCCACTTTTGTATACAAGCAGTTCTCCTGGAGACATTGCAGGACTAGGCGCTGGTGCTGTTGGTGGCTCTCCTGGGAGGAAAAATAGATCAAAATATCAACCAGATATTTTCCAAGAGGTCTTGGAAGATGTCATTCATAAAATGTTGGAAGACGGCAGGGGAATTGGTTAACCCAAACAGAATGACAGTATACTCGAAATGTTCGTACCTGCTGTGGAACTCTGTCTTCCATTCATCCCTGGGCTGGATCTGAACTCAGGTCCAATTTGGTGAAGATGGTAGCTTCTCAGAGCTTTTTGGAGCTGTTCCAACAGTTCAGATATAAGGGGCAGAGGATACTGATTGCTGTACTACTTGCAGTAGTCACAAAAAAGCCTCAAGTCTCCGGTCTTCTTCATGAACAATACTGGGGCAGACATTGGCGATGATGAGGGCTGGATAAACCCTGTGCCAGATTTTTGTCCAGGAAATCTCACAACATGGCCAACTCAGGTTCTGACATCGAGTACAAACACCCCACTGGGAGCATCGCATCCAGAAGCAAATCAATGGGGCAGTTGTATGGCCGGTGCAGGGGCAATTGGTCTGCCTTCTGCTTTCTGAAGACATCTGTAAAGTTCACTAGGTTGGAAGGCAAGGACACCCCGGGTGGACTCAGCAACTGGCCTGCACAGACTTGATTGGTGTGATCCACGCATTGCAAGCTCGGGAAAGTGATGAGGTTCTGGGACCAGTAGATTTGCAGATCGGGTGTACGGAGCCAAGCCAATCCCAAGACAGCAGGGAAATGTAGACCAGAGGTAATATAAAATTGGATAGCTTCTTCATGAGAGCTGATGGCAAGGTGCAAGGGTTGCATGGTGGCCTTAATAGGCTCAGAAAGAAGCACCCGGCCATCAATGGTCTCCACAAGCAGAGGGGGATCCACTGGATAATGAGGGACTGCATATTTGGCTGCAAATGCTGCATCCATAAAGTTCCCTGTGGACTACTGGACAGAAATACTCCTGCCGCCAGAATCAAGTGCTAGAGGGATGTCTGGGGGCCATGTCCACTGGATGTGACTCGGTTTTGGTGTGTGCCCGATTCAGTGTCTCCCCTAGGTTTTGCTTGGGGCATTTCCTGACAGGATTTTCTGCGGCTATGGGGCAGGCCCAGTAGCTGACACCCCTTGTCACTTCTTGGGCCACTCCCACGACTCCCCTTTTACTCCTCTTTATTCCTTATAGGAAGAGCCATTCACTGTCCATCTGTGCCTTTACTCCTGAGTCGACCTTTGTTCCTTAACTGTTTCCTTCTCCTGGCAGTTCTGTGCATGTGCACATTGGGAACAGGCTCCAACTGTTCTTCTGCCCCACTGATCTCCGATGGCAGCTGATAACTATCAGGCAGCCCTGGCCTGATCTCTGCCTCCAACACAGAGCACTAATCAGAGACTTCTCCAGATTCCAGGACTGGCCCATGTTCCTCCCCAACCTCCTCCCTGTCCAAGTCTGTGGCCAGCTTCGCTTGCTGCTGGCGGGCCACAACTCTGGACAAAATATTCGGAGTTTATTTTACTATCTTGTTAGAATTTGAAGTTCTTTAACAGTCTGTAGGATGCCCCAAGATTAAAAAGGATACAATCAAGATCAAGTGAGGTACTAATACCACTCTATAAAACCTTAGTAAGATCACACCTGTAGTACTGCATCCAGTTTTGATCACCACACTATAAAAAAGATGTTGAGATTCTAAAAAAAATGCAGAGAAGAGCAACTAGGGTGATTAGGAGACTGGAGACTAAAATATATGAAGAACGATTACAGGAACTAGACATGGTTAGTTTAGTGAAGAAACGGTCCAGGAGAGACATGACAGCAGTGTTTCAATATCTGAGGGGCTGACACAGAGCGGAAGGAGGTCAAGCTATTTTCCAAGACACCTGAAGGCCAGACAAGGAATAATATATGTAAATTGAACAAGGAGAGATTCAACCTGGAAAGAAGGAGAAATTTTCTGACAGTGGGACCAATCAACCAATGAAACAGCTTACCTTCAGAAGTTGTGGAAGCTTCATCACTGTAAGCTTTCAAGAAGAGACTAGACTGCTATCTGTCAGAAATGGTGTATGGTCTTCTGTTTGTGTGTGTGTGTGTGGGGGGGGGGGTTGGACTAGATGACCTACAAGATCCATTCCAACTCAATCTGTAATTCTAATTCTGTAAAATTCAGAAATATCAAGATTGTCTATAGACAATAGCATAGCTATTGAGATTAATAATTTTTAAAAATTCTGTATCATTATTCAGGAACTACAGCAATGATAATCTTAGTAAAAAGATATCAGATTCCAACATTATTGGTCTTGCTAAACAATAGTCTATTTAAAATTTGCAATATAATATATTATCTAATTTCTCAAAATCTTTTTTTCAGCACTGGTTGACAGAACTGGAAATCTTTGCTATGATTTTTGCAGCTGCTATCCATGACTACGAGCACAGTGGAACTACAAACAACTTTCATATTCAAACACGGTGAGTGCTGAAAGATAAACTATGATCAAGCAAAACTGAAAAAATGTTGAAGAGGAGTTTGCAAAATCAATTTAATAGTTTTAGATATTGGGTACATTTGCTATTAAATTTCTAAGTCTAAACTTCATTAGTATAGTTCCACTTTTGCTTCTCACACTTTGACTGTGGCTATCAAAATAAAGTTCCAGGCAGGTCATAAAATTGTTGTTAAGTTTTAAGTATGTTTTTCTGATCCATATTCTTTCCCTGTTCATGTTCCATTTGCTGGCTTAGATAGTTCATTTCATCCAATCTTTCTGTTGGTTTCACCAATTCATGTATATCACTTGTTGATACCCATACAGATTGGGAGAGCCAGGTCTTCATGTTCTTCTGGAAGGCCAGAAAAGTAGGAATTGATCTCATTTTGGGGGGCAAGATGTTTCATAGGGCAGGGACAAGAGTAGATCAGACTCTCTGCATGGATCCTGTCAGGCAAAATTCTTTAACTGATGGGGTCTGTAATATACACTCTCTGCTTGACTGATTAAGACATGTGATTATAATTCAGACAAAACATAGTCCCATGCCATGAATGGCTTTAAAGATTGGCCCATGTCAGTCTTTATTGGGCCAGGAAGCAAATGGGAACATTTACAAGATCCCTAAATTCATCCAGGATGGAGATACACAATTGGGTATCATATGCATACTAATGATGCCTCATCCTGTGGTGATTTCACCTAGTGTAGGTGATTTCATCTATGTAGTGCTAAAAAGGAGGAGAGACAGGACAAATCCTGATGCACTTACAAAGAAGGTCTGTGAGTTGCAGTGGTGGGATTCAGCCAGTTCGCACTGGTTCAGAAGAACCATTAGCTAACTTTCTGAGCAGTTCAGTGAACTGGCTGTTGGAAAAAACAGCTTTTTGTTTTTCCCACCTTACAGAGTTAATCCTGCCAGAAAGGCAGGAACAAGACATTCTGGTGTGCCTCTGTGTGTTGTTTCTTGCCTAATTCTTATCTTTATTGCCTGCTTAAGTGTTTTCAGAAATTGACTCTGCATTTAAGCCTTGTTACATTGTAACAGCTAATTGTTAGTGGCAGTATGCCCAGACTTTCTGTAGCCTGGGCTTCTTCAGAGGTATTTTTTTCTTTGCTGATACTTAGGGGCTTGGCTTTCTTAAAAGGGGAAGAGTTATTTTAAACTTTTTACACTGCTTTACTGGTTCCTAGCACTGTCCCTTTGGGGTGTACTTTTAAAGGTAGGATGCAAGTTGGCATTCTGTCTGATTTTTTTTACTGCCTTTCTGAAGGCATGTGATCTTTCCTGAAATCTGGATGATTTCCTTAGGATATCTTGTAAAGTGAGTGAGATCAGCTGGTATCTTTAAGTGGTGCAAATGGATTTAACGATTGCTTCTCCTTGGTGGGAAAGGGTGCATTGTCAGTTCACTGAGCACAGGAGTCTCTTGTCTATGGGATTCTTCAGTCATCCGGGTCATGGTTGTTCCAAAGGTGTTTTTTTCAAGAGGTAACTGGACTTTCATGATTTCCAGAAAGTTCAGTTGCCTCTTGAAAAAGCATCTTTGGGACAGAATCTCTTGTATTGCTTAGGAGTAGCCAAGACACATGATTGCTCGCTGACAGTAAGATTTTTTTAAAAAGGAGGTAGAGGTGTAGATCCTCCAATTCATTTTAGTTTTCTGTCATGATAATAAGGCTTAGTAACATGGCACCAGGCTTGAAGTTTATTTAGATATCTGTGGCATGTGCTACTTTTTTATTGTGATCCTGACAAGCTTGCGAGGGCTGAGTCTTGAACCTGGGTCCCCTATATACTTGGTTAATTTGTCTCTTTAACTCAGCATTTTGTAGCCCAAGTATGCCTACCCACCTTCTGGAGTGCTTAAATGATCTCTCTGCTAAAGGGTTTCACTTTATGAGCAAGAATTGGCTGCTGAAAGTTATTGTTATATTTTAACTATTTTAATTCCTCAAGATGCTCTGGCTTGATTTGTAACTCTGGGTTTCAGGTACTGCTGATGAAAAAGAAGGTATTCAGACAGAATGGTTTAGGTTTCCATGATGGCTATGTGACTGTCATTGATCTTCAGTGTGTATTCCCCCATTTTTAATCCAATGATTGGTATTTAGGGCAGTTTTTTGCAAGCAAAGAAGCTTTTTGTATTTTTGTACAGGTAATCCTTGACTTGCAACAGTTCATTTAGTGACCATTCAAAGTTACAATGGCACTGAAAAAAGTGATTTATGACCATTTTTCACACTTATGACCATTGCAGCATCGCCATGTTCACGTGATCAAAATTCAGATGGTTGACATTTATGGCAGTTGTAGTCTCCCATTTATGATAGTTGTAGTCTCCCAGGATCATGTGATTCCCTTTTGCAACCATCTAACAAGCAAAGTCAATGGGGAGGCCAGATTCACTTAACAGCCGTGTTACTAACTTAACAACTGCAGTGATTCACTTAACAAATGGAGCAAGAAAAGTTATGAAATAGGGCAAAATTCACTTAATAAATTTCTCAATTAGCAACATAAATTTTGGGCTCAATTGTGGTCGTAAGTCAAGGAGAGGCTGTGCGAGGCAAGGCCAGGTGTGACAAGGAGTGGCTGGGAGGAGAAGGGTGAGGCAGGGCTGAGCATGTTGAGGTGAGGCACTTCTCAATGTAAATGACATCGAGTTGTCCATGCCCACCCAGTCACATGACTACCCAGCTGGTCATTAGGGCAGCGAACAGTTGATAAATTATTTGAATCCCACCACTGGTGGGTTGGATGTCTCACTCCCCAACAATACTGTGCAGAATGAGACTCAGAGTAAGGAGATGAATCAACACAGAACTGTGCTGCACATTTTCAACTTCAATTGCTGGTTAATGGTATCAAAGAGATCTAGAAGACTGAGGATGGATACAGTAGCTCAATTTAAATAAAATTGGCAAAAGACAAAATGCTAATAAATAGGGTAGAGGCATTGTTACCTACCAGGTTTCTACAAAGTTATAGATAAAGTTCAAAAAAGCTCACAGTTCAGGTATTGTGAGTTAGGGGATGCATAGGGGAGGAACTCAAATATTATCTAGTCCTGCTCAGGTGATTTAAGTAAATATATATAAAGAAAAAGACATATTTTTGAGTTATACCATTATTAAGGTTCATTGTCAGGGATCAGCCTACAAGCTTCCTCTGTATTAATGAAGTGCAGTAACGCTTCAGCATGTCATGAAACTGATGAGCTGATGGATATATGATGGGTATTAGAGAATAATATTTGAGGGTCTCTGGGAGTACGTTAGTAAAAAGGTGACAACAGTAAACATCTGGTTTTGATGGAGTAAGTTAGCATTCACACTGCAGCCTACACATTCTTCCAGTTACCAAGAAGGTTGGGGAACAAGTATATCTCTTGTTGAAATGGTTACAGTTTTGAGCTTGGATAAAAGGAAATTATGTTGAAACCCACTTCAGTTGTGAAATATACTTAATGGTCTTGGCATAGATTTTTCACAATGAACTTTCATACAATGTAATTGCAAGATTAATGTCATGCAATGAAAAATGATGCATTCCTTTTCATCTGTTAAAAACATATAAAATACAAAATCATAGTAATAATTTTTCTGTTATTATTTACTGCCCTCTAGCCACATATGGAAATAGATATAACCTTAATGTTAATGGAGTTTATGTCTGAATAAAAATGGTTTTATGGAATTTTTTTTTTACTACAATCTGGCAACTTGATTTATTCCACAGCATTTTAAGGGAGAGGGGCAATAATCTAAAAAAAAGTTTGATCAATGGACTGTGCTTTTCATGAAATATCTTAGAATAATTTGGAATTCTATGGAATTCTCAGTCACTCAGATCATGATTGTACCAAAGGTGCTTTTTTCAAAAGGCAACTGGATGTTTTTCCTTGAAGATATTTCACCTAAGAAGCTTCTTAAAATAATTTATTAAATGCATATGAAGTGGGAGAAACTCTTCTGGCCTGAAAGAATTAAAATGGAATTTGGTTTCCTCACCCATTTCTTACAAAATAATAAATACTAGAAATAAATATTTTGGTACTGCACAATACTATACAGTATTTAGCTACAGCTAGAAGAATAAAAGCATATAAGAATGGACTTTTTTGCTTTATAGGTCAGATACTGCCATTTTATACAATGATCGGTCTGTGTTAGAAAATCATCACCTCAGTGCAGCATTTCGACTTTTGCAAGATGATGAGGAGATGAACATTTTATCTAACCTTTCTAGAGAAGATTGGAGGTAAGAATGCTGGTTGACCTTGATGGTTGTCAAATGATTGTTCTGGGTATTAAGTGTGTACTCAGCATGAGCACATAGCAGAAAATAGTTGGTTAGCAATTAATGTGAGAAGCTGTTGAGAAGAAATGTGTACTGAAATAATTCAAATGAACTACAAATAATTTTAAAAAATGCCATAACAGTGTGCCACCTGGTAAAGCTGCTGTTGCCAAAGAATGGCAGGAAAACAAATGGAATGGTAGGAGAACAATAAAAATACATCTGGTCAGTGAGATGACATGTTGAATTATCCCAAACAATATTGGTCCCCAAAGTTTGTTCAATTATTTCCCAAAAGTGCAATGTTTTCCAAGAAGAAATACATCTTCTTTAGCACCTGTAAGAAAAAAACAATAAGATCAAACATGGAAAACTGTATATTCTCCATAGAGCTGCTACGAGCGTCCAGGATGGGAGGTGCTCCAGTCTCGGCTCTCACAGGCTGAGCTTGAAATTGAGGAACGCCTCTCCCCATCACGTGGTCCTCTTGGCGTTCCCCAGTTTTTTGCTCAGCCTCGTGACAGTCAGGCTGTTTTTCTCTAGCTCTTGGCCGATCCAGGTTTTCTCGCAGATCTTCGATCAGGTTGGACCCTTATTTTCAATTTGCGCAGTGGATTTGGGGCTTGGGCTCCCTAGGGAGCTTTTTCTTCCCTCCTAATCATACGGGGAGCAACTTAATCGCTGTTTTCTAGGGGCAGCATCCAGCGCTTCAAGTGCCGGCGCCCCCCCCCATCGTCTGCCGCTCCTTCGCTCAACGCTGAGCGCCGCTTCGTTCCTGCCTTCCATCTCGTTGTTTCCCCTTCGTGAACGCCGTCAATAGCCTAGGGGAGATATTCTTCCCCTGCTCCTCCTGTTATTCGTGGCCTTCAGGCCTCTTCTCTAAGGGAGAGTACTGCCGCTGAGAGTCCTTTCGCATAGCTCGCGGCCACCATTTTGGGCGCCGCGTGGCGCCCGCCATTTTGGGTGTGCCCAGGTGTCGCCTGCCATTTTGGACGCGGCCGCATGGCCGACCGCCATTTTTTCTGGGCCTTGTCTGGTAGGCTGCGCGACTGAGTTATCACTAGACAGTTCCCTAGGACTGCCTATATTCTAGCTCGTGTCTTCAAGGCCTTATTCGAAGGTTCCGAGCATTACAGGGTCCGTTGGCTCCGCAGCCTCCTCAGCTGGCGAAGTAGCAGCATTCACATCCCCCCCCCCCCCGGTCTTCGTCTGGGGGGCAGCTGCACAGGCGTTCTTTTGGCTGATTGGACACTTGGGCTAGTCCCAGCTTTCTTATTTTAATAGTTTGCAAAAAAAATTTGACCAAAAGGGGTGTGTGAAACAATCGTGGTGATACCCGGCCTTGGTGTAGGCCCCATCCAGACGAGCCAACCGTCTCATATTAACTCAAATAAATTTTTTCTTTCCAGCTTTTCTAGATGGCAGATGACAGAGTTTCACGTGGCACTTCTCTGAAGGCCAAGTCAAAATCTCATTACCTGCGCAACCAGGCACAGGAGACTTCCAAAGCCTCCCAGAAGGATGCCCTCAGACGTCACAGGGCAATTGAGAGGGAAATAGATAGGCGGTCTAGAGAGTCAAGCTCCGTGCCTCTGGCTCCTTCTTCCTCCGCCCCCTCAACCTCCACCCATCCTCCTCCCCCCCCCTCCTGCTCAATCCTCAGCCTCGCTGCCTAGGCAAGCTCCTGAAGCTACTTTCACTCCCACTGCTGCTGGCCTGCGCCCGGAAGAGCCACCCCAACCTCCTATGGCTGAAATTCCTGAGAACATGAGACTATGGATGGAGTTTGCCATCCGGCAGGGAATTGCGCAAGGGCTCCAGCAGATGGCCGGTCCAGCCCCATGGCCTGCGGCCCCCGAAACTCACGTACCATCTGTCAGATCACTCTCCAGATCAGATGCTTCGAATGGTCAGGTAGTATCCCAGAGGGAATTGCCTCTCTCTCTGGGGATAGAGGAGGTGGAGGCACAGGAGCTCGGGGGTCCCACCCAGTTTGGGGAAGAGGAAGATCTTGACTTGGGGTCCATCATTTGCAGCGAACCCCTCTCGGGAGCAGACCCAATGGAAGGGGAAATGTCAGAGGATGAAGGCCTCACCCCGGACCAGCCCGCCTTTGTGGGGCTGTTTAAACTGCACCTGTTCAGGTCGATTCTTTTCAAGGCAAAAAATACCTCTGGCCTGACCCCTCACACACCATCTGAGCCTGTAGCCTCGGGGGTGCCTCACGACTCCATCTTCTCTTAGCCCGTGGTGGAGACTCATGTCATTCCGGTCCCACCTATCTTCTCCGACCTGGTCTCCAGACAACTAGCCTCCACGGGGCCCCCTCCTCCCCCTTCCAGTCAGGACAAGTGCTTCTTTAACCTTGACCCGGAATTCTCCCTTCTGCTCGATCCCCCATCTGTTGACGATCCTATCGTGGGTCTAGCTTCTCCCTCAACCCCTAGCGATGCCTTAGAGGCACTCAAACCAGAGGACAAGCGAGCTGAGCTAGCCCTGCGCCGTGCTCACCAATCCGACGCCTGGGCTATTAGAGCGTCTACTGCTGCGTCCTTCTTCACCAGATCCTCAATTAAGTGGCTCCGGCAGCTTAAACAACACATCCCCGCAGCCAACCTCAGGGCGCAGCAGGACATTGCAAAGCTCACGGCCGCGGCCGAGTTCTTGGCCGACACTACCTTTCAAGCCGTGAAATTTTCCACCAGAGCCATATCCTCTCAGGTCACTGCTCGCCGCTGGCTTTGGCTCCGCCACTGGCAAACGGACATCAAAAACAAAGTGAAACTGGCATCCGCTCCCATTTCGGGGGGGAAACTGTTTGGATCGGTTCTCAACCCCTTCCTGGCCGAGACCCGCAACAAACGTAAATACCTTCCCTCGCTTTTTCGGAGGTCTGACCCCAGAGCCCCCTCCTCCCCCTTTCGTCGAGGTTCCTTTCGACCCTCCTCCCAGGCCTCTTTCCCCCCTAGATACTTCCAATCCCCCTCCTACAGACCCCCTCCTCCACAGGACCGGTCGGACCCATCCGACAGGCCCAGAAGAGGTGGTCCCTACAAAAGGCCCTTCCAGGGATCCGGGAACAGGCCCTTCCATCGCTCAAGATAATTCAACCCCCCTCCCCCCCATAGGCGGCCGCCTCAAGCATTTCGCTAGTCAATGGGAGGCCACCACTACCGATGCATGGGTCAGGGACATGGTTCGCTTTGGCCTTGCACTTGAATTCCAGTCCCCCCCTCCTGAATTTTTCATGTCCTCCCCCCTTTCCAGGAACCCTACCAAGAGGGCCCTCATGGACGCCGCCATTAACCATCTCCTTGACATAAAGGCTATCCAGCCCGTTCCCGCAGCTGAGCGGGGACGAGGCTTCTATTCCCATTTGTTTGTAGTGCCCAAGCACTCGGGGGTTGGAGGGCTATCCTAGATTTAAAAAGACTGAATCGCTACCTCGTAAATTTAAAATGCACACCTTGCAGTCTATACTCTTGGGAACCCGGCGAGGGGACTGGCTCACCTCAATTGACCTCTCCGAGGCATACTTACACATTGCAATTCGACCCTCCCACTACAAATTTCTGCGCTTTTCCTACAATAAACAGCATTTCCAGTATGTTGCACTTCCCTTTGGTCTGTCCTCCGCCCCCAGGGTTTTCACCAAGGTTTTGGCAGCCCTCGCCGCCCACCTGAGATCCTTCCCTGTCCGTCTCCACTGTTACTTGGATGACATCCTCATCCTCTCCTCCTCAAAGGTTCAGGCCCAACGAGACACTAGGTTAACCTTTACCACCCTTCAGGACCATGGGTTCCTGATAAATTGGAGGAAAAGTCACCTTTCCCCCTCTACCCGGCTTACTCACTTGGGGGCGGTGATCGACACTACTCAGGAACTGGTTTTCCTGTCCCCGGACAGGTGGCTCAGTATCCAACAATCCATCAAGCACGTCAGGCGGGCAAGGAAAGTGTCTCTCTTAGATTTGTCAAAACTGTTGGGGAAGCTAGTTTCATGTATCTCTGTTATCCCTTGGGCCCGTTTCCATACCAGGTCCCTTCAATGGTTCCTGCTCCCGCATCAGCGTTCAGGAAGGAGCAACTCAAGACTCCTGGTCAGAGTCCCTCCAAGAGTTCTCACGTCCCTCCTTTGGTGGACCAGGCTGGCCATCAACAAGGGCCACTACTTCAAGGAACCCGACCGGTTAACTATCACCACAGATGCGAGCCTCCTCGGATGGGGCGCTCACGTCCTCTCCATCTCGTCCCAGGGCAAATGGTCGGCAACAGAACAACTCTGCACCATAAATTGGCTGGAGCTCCACGCTGTCTACCTGACGCTTCGCAGCTTCCTACCCCAGGTACGCGGGCGTCATGTCTTGGTCCTTACAGACAACATCACGGCGAAGGCCCATATCAACAGGCAAGGGGGCACCCAGTCAATACGGCTCATGAGAGAGGCCGAACGTCTGTGCCGATGGGCGGAATCGAACCTGTCTTCCATCAAAGCAGACCATATATCGGGGGCCTTAAACATCCAGGCAGATTGGCTCAGCAGAGCCACCCTAGACCAAACAGAATGGCACCTCCATCCATCCCTATTCAGGGAGGCAGTCTCAATCTTCGGTCTCCCCATGGTGGACCTTTTTGCATCCCCCCTCAATGCCCAACTACCAAGGTTCTTCTCCAGGTACCCCTCTCACGGGGCGGAGAACCACAATGCCCTCCGTTGCCCTTGGCCCCCAGGGCTCCTTTATGCCTTCCCCCCCCCCCTGACCCTCATCCCCAGGGTGATACACAAGTTGATCCTAGAACAAGCAGAGATTCTTCTGGTAGCCCCTTATTGGCCCAGACGCCCCTGGTTTGCAGACCTTCGCAACCTCTCGGTGGCCCCTCCCTGGAGAATCCCACCCGACAAGATCTCCCTGTCCCAGGGCCCTCTTTCACACCCGAACCCCCAATGGCTCCAATTAGCTGTCTGGAGGTTGAGCGGGACCGCCTAAAGAGAAAGAATTTTTCCAGCCAGGTCATAGACACCATCCTGGCAGCCAGACGGCCCTCGACCACGCGAATCTACAATGCTACCTGGGTCGCCTTTCATACCTGGGCTCATAAACTCCAGATCAATCCCCTCTCTCCCTCCATCGCTCAGGTTCTGGAATTTCTTCAGGAGGGTCTCAACAAGGGTCTGTCCACCAACACCCTAAGACGTCAGGTCGCGGCCCTGGCAACTGTTGTTTCCTCAGATAATGGGGGTCCCCTCTCCCATTACCCCCTCATCCGGGCCTTTCTCAGGGGAGCTTCCAATCTCCACCCTCCGACTATACACCGTTTTCCCACCTGGGACCTCAATAAGGTCCTGGTCTCTCTTACCAAGCCCCCCTTCGAACCCATCAGGGAGGTTTCCCTCCAGTTCCTCACCCTCAAAACTGTTTTTCTTGTGGCTATCACATCCGCTCGCCGGATTTCGGAGATGGCAGCCCTTTCCATCAGACAGGACCTATGTATCTTCCATTCAGATAGAGTCGTTCTCCAACCTGATCCCACCTTTCTCCCAAAAATCAACTCAGCATTTCACAGGGCTCAGGAGCTCATCCTCCCGAACTTCTGCCCCAGACCCTCTCGAGAGAGGGAGAGACAGTGGCACACCCTCGATGTAAGGCACGCCTTAAGAATATACATCAAGCGCACCCAACCATTTCACAAGTCAGAGGCCTTATTTGTGTCTTTTCAGCCCACGTCCCTCGGCCACAAAGTGACTCCCACAACCGTGGGCCGTTGGATTAGGGCCGCCATCGCTAAGGCCTACCAGGCACAGGCCCTACCTGTTCCATCTGGCGTGACCGCTCACTCTACTAGAAGTGCGGCTACTTCTGCCGCATGGGCCACCCAAGCCTCAATAACTGATATCTGCAGGGCTGCCACCTGGGCATCCCCATCCCCTTTTATCAAACATTACAAGATCGATGTATTCGCCTCTGCTGAGGCTTCCTTTGGCAGGCGGGTCCTTCAGCGGGTCCTTGAGGTTCCAGGGGAGATTCCACACCAGACGGGAACCCGCCCGCAGGACTCACCAAGCTTTGGTATGTCCCATCCTGGACGCTCGTAGCAGCTCTATGGAGAAGGGGCATTGGTTCTTACCTGATACGCTTCTTCTCGTAGAGCTGCGTAGAGCGTCCAGCCCCACCCATTAACCCGTCTGGTGGGGAATCTCGTTTCGGCCAACAAATAATTCTTAGTTAGGATGAGAATAGGGTTTTCCTTCTCGTCTTCGCAAAACTGGGGAACGCCAAGAGGACCACGTGATGGGGAGAGGCGTTCCTCAATTTCAAGCTCAGCCTGTGAGAGCCGAGACTGGAGCACCTCCCATCCTGGACGCTCTACGCAGCTCTACGAGAAGAAGCGTATCAGGTAAGAACCAATGCCCCTTTTCTCAGATTAGTTTATATGGAAGGCAAAGACAAAAAATCTTTTTAAATAGGAGTTCAGTAAGTTCTGAAACTTACAGAATTTGTTTGTGCTTCTTAATATGAACTTTTTAAAAATAAATTATTATTAAAATACTTTTGTGGCAATCATGCTTAGCTGTTTTTTTAGCTGAAAATAGGATTCTAGGCTAGATTATCATCCTTGCAAGATAGTCCAAAGAATAAGCACACCCAGGTGTAGTAGTTCTACTTTATTGTAAGGTTATACTAATAGAATCTTACAAGTCTGAAAGTATATTTCCCTCATCTCTTTTGCAAACCAAGTAGCATATCCCTTTAATATTTTTGCCTTGGCCACATTCCTTCGCTTACCCAACCATTCCCTGGCTTCAGCTCTTCTCCCCTCTCCCAGTATAATTTCCATATACTTGCTATAGTCCAGTGCTGTCATATGAGCATATATCTAGTAACACAAAATTGATGAAATTTTCAGTGCTCATTAGAAATGCTCCTGAACCTCAGTGGAAGATTTGTAAGTAGGATCATTAGTCCTGACTATATAATGAACCTGGACCTTGTTCAGGATCTTGTTTATATGAGACCCTGAATGTGTTATTGTTAATTCTAGCAGAAATTATGATTTTATTAATATCTTTTTGTGTCTATTTGTCTGCAAGAGCAAGCATCCAGATACATGTACTTTTATTAGCTGCTATAGTTTCTGTTTTGGAAGATTTTTTTTCAAAGCACATTCCTATGGATAGATTTCACTTGAATGATTCACTTCCTCAGCCATTCAGTTTAGTAACTGAAATCTCAAATTGTGAAATCATGTTTTGGAAAATAGCTATATGATTAGTGTCAAATTCCTATTTTTTTAATGTGATGGAACATAAATTGGTCCTGGGAACAGACTATTAAGGGGGAAGTTTCAGAGAAGATTACTTAGTCCTGGGAAAGAAGAAAGCATGAGAAGGAAACTCAAAATACCCTGCTTTGATTTTGTTTGGTATGTGATTTATTAGAGAGGAAGTCTAAAAAGTTTCCAAAATTCGGATATAATATCCTCTGCTGCTTCTGAAGTTTCTTGACCCTGTATACTGACAGCTTGTTTATCATATTTGTATCCTATTTTTCCTTGATATATCAAGAGTGCGGGATGGGGGAAGTCATTGTTTCCTCTAATAACAATTCTAATTTTACTGTGAGATAGTGGTTGGCTCAGAATACCAATGACCTCTATGAGACCCTGGTCTAATATCATAACCTTCATATTCCCCAATCAATCCTGTTGTGCCTGATATTTGTTCTTGCTGCTGCAGTTTCTTCATCTCTGCAGCCATAGGTCTGTGTTGTTGGACTATAATGTGTGAGCCCTGCAACAGAATAACAATCAACCAATGTATGCATGTGTTCTTGTAGGAGTGATTTTGCCTGCTTAGTGTCATATTCTGCTTGCTGATTCTGGAAATCTGCATCTCACAGAAAAGGTATTCTAGGGTTACTTTCAGAAAAGCACTTTATTATTCCCTAAAAATGACTAAATTGCACATACCTTCCTTCCGAGAAGCCCTGGTAAAAAAAAGATAACATGAAGGACTGAGTGACGCACATGGGAATGAAGACTAAGAATGTCATAAATAATGTTCAAACTGATAAAGAAAAACAAGTGTTTCTTATATGTTTCTTTTTCTCATTCTCTCCTTGTTCTTTCCTGCTCTGGTTATCTGCCAATAGAGAATTCAGGACTCTAGTGATTGAGATGGTGCTGGCTACAGATATGTCCTCTCATTTTCAGCAAATCAAAGCCATGAAGAATGCATTGCAGCAATCAGAAGGGTAAGAGACCTTCTGACATTGTGGAGAGGAAAGGCTCTACTATAGCTGGTACTTTGTCATTTTATTATATGAGCCTCAAAAATACCTTGCTGAAAAACAACAACATTCTTTATTAGTTGTAATTATTTCTTTTTCCAGTGATTGGGTTTAAATGTAGTTGCATCCTTTCAGAAGAGCAAAGATATACTTCTGGTTGTATCACTGATATATCAGCTAAACCCTGCTTTCATGTAACACATTACATATCGGACTGTCTTGATAGATTGTTTGTGGGTGATGAATACCTGGAATACATTTGTCAATGTTAGTTACAATAAATCATACTTATTACAGGGCCAATTCAGGGTACTGATATTGTAACAATTCTAATCTGTGTATTCCTTGAACTAAGAATGTATATCATACAGCTACTTTTTTTCTTTTTTTTCTTTTAAAGATCTGCATATTGAATATTCTTTTTAGGGCAGGGTTCCTAATTAAATTGCAATCCAGTTTGTAAAGATTTCACTATGAGGAATTGATTACATAAGTAGCATTTAAACACTTAAACTTACAAAACATTTCTTCCACTACAAAACATTTCTTCCGCTAAAATCACAAAGTAGCACTTTTCCTATTGAACAAGATTGAACAGAAGAGGCAATAAAGGCTAGAAAAAGGCAAAAATGCCCTTTTGAAATTCATTACCAAATATGGAGAAAATTATGGAGACAATTTATCTGAATTTCTACCAAAGAAGGAGAAATTCTTCTCAAAATGTCTTAAGAAAATACTTAAAGCGGGAAGATTTTTTACAGTATGACCAGACTTTCTATAGCCTGAGCAGTTTTTCTGGAGTCGTCCCCCCCCCGCCCCCCAAATTGCTGGTACTTTTATTTTGGAGCTTGGGAGGATGGACTGGTTGGATTAAGAGTGATTTACATATGAGTTGGCATAGCCATCAGAAGAAATGACTGAGAGGCAGGATGCAAGCTGGGCACTCTGTTTTTTTTTTTACTGCCTTTTTGGTGGCATGTGATCTTTCCTTAAATCTGGATGATTTCCTTAGGATGTCTTGTGAGTTGAGTAAGATCAGCTTTAAGTGGTGCAAATGGATCTAAGGATTGCTTTTCCTGTGTGGGAAAGGGCGCTTTGTCATTTCACTGAGCACAGGAGAATCTTGTCTATGGGGATTCTTCAGTCATCCAGGACATGGTTATCCCAAAGATGCTTTTTTCAAGAGGTAACTGGACTTCCTTGGTTTCTAGAGAGTTTAGCTGCCTCTTGAAAAAGCACCTTTGGGACAGGAGTCTCTTGAAATGCTTCTGAGTGGCCAAGGCACATGATTGCTCACTGATATTAATTGGATTCTTTTTCCAAATCATTTTAGTTTTCTCTCATGATAATAAGGCTTAGTAACATGGCACCAATTGTAGAAAGTTAGCACCCTCTCCTAGAAGAATGAAATATTTTGAGAAATATTAAAAATATTTTTTTAAAAAATATTTAAAAGAAAGAATATGGATGAGAAATGGAGAAACATGTTTTTTTTAGAGAGAGGAAAACTCTCACCCTCCTTAGTAGCCCACAGCAGATGTTAGCAGTAAAGAGATAAAGAGATAGATATCTGCAGGGGTGGGATTCTACCAGTTCGCACCTATTCGCTAGAACTGGTTGTTAACATTCTAAGCAGTTCAGAGAACTGGTTGTTAGAAGAAATTACTGGTCTAATCCTGTAAGGAAGGCAGGAAGGAAACATTCTGGTGTTGCTTATAGAAACTGCCTCTCTGTTAACCCTTATTACATTCTTGGCAGGTCTAGATTTCCTGTCTCTGGAATTTCTCTGGAGGTTTTTTTCCTCCTTTGCTGGTACTTTGCTTGTGTGGAGTGACCATTCAAAGTTACAATGACACAGAAAAAAGTGACTTATGACCATTTTTCACACTAATGACTGTTGCAGCATCCCCACACTCATGGGAAGCCAGGTGAGGAGATGCATGCCTCGATGTAAGTGATATTGAGTTGGACACACCCAGCCAATAACATGACCACCAAGTCTAGAATGGATTTCACTTTAACCAGGTCCATCTCTTCACCTTTGCACGACACCCAGAGGGGTTTTGATAATCCAGACATTGATAATTATGGAGCTCTCATTTTGACAACTTTGCGTATAATTTAGCTACAAGGAGTTTCTCCAATACTTGACACACCAACTTCACATGTTCCTCTAGGATCTCTCTGAAGATAAGAATGTCAACCAAGTACACAAGGCTTTATATAGGTGCTCTGTAGCATCGCATTTATCAATTGCATGAATACTGTGGGGCTCCTTACAGTCCAAAGTGCATCACTTTGAATTGGAAGCTCCCCAAGGGGCAGTAAAAGGCAGTTTTCCACTCATCATCATCTTTGATTTGTATCTCGTAGTATGCATCTCACAGGTCTAGTTTGGTAAACACCTTCCCTTTGGCCAGGTGGGCCAGCATGTTTTTTATGAGGGGAAGTGGGTAGGTGTTCTCCATGCATACAGTGTTTCTTCCCCTAAAATCCACACAAAGTCTCATTGACCCAACCTTTTTCTCCTTAAAGAGGCCTGGGGCAGCCACTCTGGAATTAAGCTGGTTAGATAAACCCATGGATCAAGTTAGTGTCAATGTACTCTCTCAGCTCTTTCATCTCTTTCGGGGTCATGGAGTACATCTTTGACTTGGGTAGCTTAGCCCCTGGTACAAACTCTATGGCACAGTCTGTGGGGTGGGGGTGGGGGGTAGTATATTGCATTTCTCCTTGTTGAATGCTTCCACCAAGTCCAGGTACTCTTTAGGAATTTGGCCAGGGGCTGCTGTGAATTGGCTGTGGCCTTCTCATTCCACTTAGCGCCACTGCTTCATTGAGATGTCTCTCCTCCAGCAGTCACCTGAGGGGGATTGGGGCCTATTCCCAGCCTTTCTGTAGCCACCCTCCCACATGATGGGGGGGGGGGCATTTGTCCAAGCAGGATAGGCCCATGATCATTGTTTCCATCATATTTGGCGCTACCATGAAGTGGATGAGTTTCTTGTGCTGGCCCATTTCCAACCTTATGGGCTCAGTGAGGAGGGTAGAGGGCTTTACCTCCAATGATCCGTCAACCTGTTCAAAACACATGGGCTGGGTCATTTTCTTAATCCTGATGCCCAGCTTTAGAACAATAGTCTGGCTGATTAGACAGCAGGTAAACCCCATAACTATGATCACATCCACAGTCCCCTGTGCCCTGGTCTTGGGTACTATTATCCACACCAGGATAGCAAATGGGCGGATGGCTTTCCTCACCATTGGGTCATTCTCATCTTTGTTGTCGCTTTTGTAGGTCATCAGCATTGGGGACTCCTATGTTGGAGGTTTCAGTCCCCCAGAGGGGATAGGTGAGATCTCAGCTTGAAGTCTGAATTCCCCCCCACCCCCCTGCAATGCTGTCTCCTTGGCCTGATCAAGGAGAGTGTCTTCCCCTCTGGTTTAGCAGTGGGAGATGGGCTCTCAGCCATCTTGCTGCCTTGGCAGTTATCATTCCCACCGTCAGTTGGCTGTACAGAGGTTCCAGCTGGGCTCAAGCTCCCCAAGTTCCACTCACCAGCTGAGTAAGTGCTTGTTGTGTTAGGCCTCAATCTGTTGCTGGGTTTCAAATCATCAGCTGAGGGGCTGCTTGTTGGGCTGGGCCCCAATCCGTGGCTGGATAGCAGGCTGAGGGGGCAGAAAAACCTGCAGCTGGGGTGGCAGTGGGGCCGGTGTGGGAATCCACTGCCCTTGGAGCCAGACCCAGGGTGGTACCACCAGCCAGGTGGTGCCAGCCAACTCAATTGGGGCCACAGTTGACTGAATGGGTTGCCTCCCTTCATAGGCCTTGGTAGGTACCACCCACTCTCCAGGCTCTGCCATTTGGGGACTTCCCATGGCCTTTCTCCAGACTGCGGTGATCCAAGCACCAGTCAAGCAGGGTCTCAGCAGGAGCTGGCACCAGGACCCGCAGTGGACTGGAATTAGTGGGCCACCATGATGGGAGCCAGTTGGGGTCTGGGTCACCATTTTTGCTAGGCAACACTTCATCGATCGGCTGGGGCCTTGGGTAATTTGGAGACTCTGCCCCTCTGCTACACATCTACAGACTCCTGATCTGCTGCGGGCTGATAGCAGAGGTGTATTCAGCAGGTTCTGACCAGTTCTGGAGAACTGGTAGCGGAAATTTTGAGTAGTTTGGAGAACCGGCAAATACCACCTCTGACTAAAGAATTTACAGTATCCTTCCCCTGCCATGCCCACCAAGCACTACCACCACAGAACTGGTAGTAAAAATTTTTGAATCCTACCACTGGGTGATAGGTATGGGGGGCAAAGAAGCCAGTGCCACTAGCAGCGGTGGGCTGGGGATATAGCCCCATGGGACCTGGAGCCAACCATGGGTGGAACCACAGTCCTTACTGGATTGTGCTTGTCCTGTCAGCTAGGGCAGTGGGTAGCCAGAAGAGATGGCCTCTCTGTGGCATGCCATCTAGAGATCTTCAGTCCCTGACTCACTGGGACATAGTAGGGCCTGCGTCCTCATCTGGAGGGGGTTAGTCATGGTCATGAGTTCCCTTCTTGCAAGCCATGAGGAGTCCCCCACTGGCCAGTGGGGTGGATCAGGGCTTCCACTGTTCTCTTCTACCCAGCCTGGACTTCTGGTGATCAGCATTCTGACGCTGGATGTAGGTTGCGCAATCTTCGACCATGTACACTCTCCCGCCACTGCTGCGGGCCACTTGAGCTCTGAGAAAGTCTGCTGTCCTTTCAGGTGGTCACCATGGTACCTATTCCTTCTGGTTCCTTCCTCCTCCATTCTGTTGTCTTCCCTGAGTCTTTCCACTCCCTGAGAATTCAAGTGAGTGACTGGAGCTCAGGACCCACACATGTAACTCCAGTTGGAGCAGAGAATTTTGGGGGACTGGCTTAATGTCAGCATTCCAGGAATTACAACCATTGCAAATCAGAACTCTGAGGCAATTCAATTCCTCAAAGAACAACTTTTATTGGAAATACCTGTCTGGTACAAATTGGTGAAAAGCCCATTCTGAATCTTCCCGGGCTTTTCACAACCTTAAAAGAAAAAGTTTCTGGTCTTTTCAAAACAATAAATCACATTGTCCAATCTGGATACTAGCTGGTTGCCTGGTTACAACTCTCTCCTTCTCCTGGAATGCCTCTGACTCACCAGAGAGCTATTCTATTTTGTCTACCAAATTCCCTTTATTACTCTCCCATTCATCTCCACATTATGTCAGCCTGAAATCCAGCTACAGGCCTGACACCATCTTTCCAATCAGTCTCCATGTATCTAATTTCTTTCTCCCAGTTTGGAACTGAACCAGATGAATATTTCTTCCAACGCAGGCTTGAAGTTTATTTAGATATCTGTGGCACTATGATCTTGACAAGCTTGGGAGGGCAGAGACTTGAACCTGGGTCTCCTACAAACTTCATTAATTTGTTTCTTTAGCTTGGCATTTTATAGCCCAAGTATGTCCACCCACTTTCTGGAGAGCTTAAATGATCTCTCTGCTAAAGGGTTTCACTTTATGAGCAAGAGTTGGCTGCTGATAGTTATCATTGTATTTTAACTATTTTAATTCCTCAAGGTGCTCTGGCACCCTGCCAGATTTGTAACTCTGGGTTGCAGGTATTTTTAATCTAATAATTGGTATTTAGCTTTTTGCAAGCAAAGTTTTTTGTATTTTTGTACAGGTAATCCTTGATGAAAAGAAAGGTATTGTCAGCATTCCAGCAAACCTCCATTCCAATCAGTAACTATGAGACAAGCATAATCTCAAAAGTACCTTAATTAGAATAGCACCTGGCACATCCTGTAATCTGCAACCCTTACACTGCAAAAACATATGGACTACACAACTCGATCAGGGCAAAGCAATAGACGCAATCTACATAGACTTCTGTAAAGCCTTTGATTCAGATACACGACAAACTACTCCTAAAACTATAATCTTACGGTATCTCTGGACACCTGCATAACTGGATAGAAGCATTCCTGTCAAACAGACAACAAATGGTCAAAATTGGGAGCGTCCTATCAAATTCTGTGCTGTCAACAGTGGTGTCCTCTAAGGCAGTGTTCTAGGACCAACTCTCTTCATACTCTACATAAATGACCTCTGTGATCATATTAAGAGCAACTGTGTTCTCTTCGCTGATGATGTAAAGCTATTCAACACCACAGACAATACTGCTATCCTTCAAAAAGACCTCGACTATGTATCAGAATGGTCAAACAAATGGCAACTTCAAATCTCAACAAATAAATGCTCTGTCTTACATATTGGCAAAAAAATCAGAAAATAAAATACAAACTGAATAGTCAAGACCTTGTTGATGATCCAAACTCTGTCAAGGATTTTGGAGTACTCATCTCTAATGATCTAAGTGCTAGAGCCCACTATAATTACATAGCCAAAAAGGCGTTAAGAGTTGTTAACCTAATCTTACGTAGCTTTTTCTCTGGTAATATTACACTAATAACTAGAGCATACAAAACATTTGCTAGACCAATATTCGAATACAGCTCATCAGTCTGGAACCCACATTACATATCTGATATTAACACAGTTGAGAAAGTCCAGAAATATTTCACAAGAAGAGTTCTCCACTCCTCTACTTGTTACAGAATACCTTATGCCATCAGACTTGAAATTCTAGATGTAGAAAACCTAGAACTACGTCGCCTTCAGTCCAATCTAAGTATAGTATATAAAATTGCAATGTCCTACCTGTCAATGAATACTTCAGCTTCAACCATAACAATACAAGAGCACACAATAGATACAAACTCAAGGTTAATCGCACCAAACTTGAGTGCAGGAAATATGACTTCAGCAACAAAGTGGTTTTCCCCATCATTACATTATACAGACCAATCACAAGCCGTCCCAGTGTAAGATCCTTTTTCCATGCTGCGCCACGCTTAATAACCTTGAACTAAGAAAAGAATTTTATTTTGTCTACTTAGAACTACTCAATTGAAATCACCCCCCTCTCATTTTCTCCAGCTATGTGGCAGCGTGGAATATGGCTTCCAAAGCTGACAGGCATCCCACCTTGAGAAGTTCATCTCCTAAAAGAGATAATAAACAAAACACAACCAAGGGTTAATGCGATGCCCTTAACCCCCTCTCCCCCCTCCAAGGGGACTCTGGTTGTCAGGAAATTCATTATGGAATTGATTAACCAATCTATCTGTATGTACATCCCAACTTTTTACCCAAGTAGTCTCTGACAAAGGGTAACCCTTCCATAATACCAAATATTGTAATCTCCCTCGGTGCAATCTTGAATTGAGGATTTTCTTAATTTTATAATGTACCCTGTACAATCAAAGATTTGGGGGGAGCTGTTGGGATCAGCCTTAGATTTGACCCTACAGCTGGTTTCAATAAACTACTATGGAACACTGGGTGTATTTTCCCCAATAGCTGGGAAAACAGGTATTTAGACTGACCTTGTATTACGAATATGTTTTGGAAGCAACTTCACAAGCTATTGCCCATTAGCTTATTGTCAGCATACCTTTATTTCCTTGATTAGTGGTCTTTTTTTAAAAAAAAATATTTAGGTAATTAATTTATGCCATTATTTTGGTTTTTCAGAATTGACAAACCAAAAGCCTTATCCTTGATGTTGCACACAGCTGACATCAGTCATCCTGCCAAGGCATGGAACCTCCATCATCGCTGGACCATGTCACTCTTAGAAGAATTTTTCAGACAGGTAACATAAAGAATTCATTTGACTGTGTTGATCATATCAAGTTGAAGAATGTGCTTAGAAAGCTGCGAGTCCTAAAAATTTATTACACAACTATATTATATATGATGTTTAATATTATTACTGTGTAGATGGTTGAATGTTCCTCTCACACTGACCCAAAAATAAACTAATTCCTTCTCCCATGCCCATAAATCCTTCCTTCCTTCCAGATTCCATAGGCTGGACATAAATGCCTTTAGAAAAGAAAATACTTTTCTTTCTTTCTCTCTCTCTCTAGTTAGCTGGCAATATTATCTAACAAAATGTATTACGAAGTGATGAACTATGGCAAAAGTTCCAAATATAGTATCTAAGTACACGTTTGATTTACATAGGTTTTGTTACCAAGTTTGGGGGAGGGGTAGGTTTACTGCTTCCTTGTTTTTGTAGCTTTACTGAATTTTAATTACATTTTAAAATTGTGCTAATTATTGTTTTTAGAGTTATATGTCTGCTTGTTTATGGAAAACTAACAGAGAAAGACAACAAATAGTATACTTATTCAGGGCTTCAAAAATTTTAGAAACAGGTTCTCTGCCTTGTTGCTGGGTGGGTGTGGCCACAGTGGGTGTGGCCTAGTTGGCCTCCTACACCACAGCGGGAGGGGGGCTTTTTTGCTCTCCATGGGCTCCAGTGGCTTTACTTGAGCCTCCGGGAGGGTGAAAACAGCCTCTCTGGGCTCTGGAGCAGGGGTGGGATTCTACCAGTTTGGACCGGTTCTATAGAACCAGTTGATACGATTCTGCACAGTTCAGAGAACTGGCAAATCATGCCCCTGGCTAGCCCTTCCCCTCCCTGCCCAATCAGTCCTTATCACGCATGTGCGCTCATGCCTGACATCGCTGACTGCATTTTCCCCTGCCCAGTCACTCCTGCTGTGCCCCCCTGTGCTCCATTTTTTGCCTTCCTGGGCCTCAGGGATGCCTCCTGGGAGCAAAAATGCCCCCAGGGGCTTCCCCGAGGCCCAGGAGGCAAAACAACAACAACCCAGAATGCAGGGCTGCTGCTGCAAAAAAAGAAGCAATTCCCACCCAGTCACATGGCCATGCTCACCTTCAGACTCCTATCTAGCCACACCCACAGAACCAGTAGTAAAAATATTTGCATCTGACCCCTGCTCCAGAGGCTCTCTGGAAGCCAGAAACGGGCCCATTTCCGACCTTTCCAAACTTCCAGGAGGCCTGTTTTTCACCCTCCCTGAGCCTCCGTGCATACCCTGCACTTACCTGCATCCAAAATGGGCCACATGGGGACTCCTGGGAGGGGAGGGGTAGGGTGGGTGGGGCCAGCCAGGAGTGGAATTTGGGGGTTCTCAGAACTGTGCAGAATCTTAGCTAGAGGATCTCCCAAACCTCCAGCAACACACCCGTGGACTTACTGCTGCCTATCCCTCATAATGGTTGTCTCCATATTAAAAATTGCAGCTTTTACATCTGGCTGGAAATAATGGCTAGACCGTAGAAGAAAATTCCATAGATGCACACACTTATTTTGGCTAACAAATTTTGCTTCTGTGTTTAGTCTTTTCCCAAATATTAAGGGGAAACCTGAGGAAAAAATGCTGTTTTGAGTAAAAAAATGAAAATCTGACTAATTAACTTTCTCTACACAATTCAAAAATGGTTAGGCTAAATTGTACATTCTTTTCTACATGAGATTTAAAATCATAGAACATTTAAAGATTTAACAAAACACAGAACAAAAACAACAAAAACACAGAACAGAAAGAGAAGGCTATGAAAATGGACATTGTGTCTCTCACATTCTTGTGATATTTTTTTCTCTCCTTCTACTTTTCAGGGTGACAAAGAAGCAAAACTAGGCCTTCCCTTTTCCCCCTTGTGTGATCGTAAATCCACTATGGTCCCTCAGTCTCAAATAGGTAGGTAAATCCAAGATTCCCAAATCTGAAACTGATAAACAGATTTGTATATGATGTGAAAAGATGTGGTATATATGTTGCTCATGTTGTGTCAAAGATAACATTCTGTTATATGAACTGGGAGGGAATTTACAAGTGCTAAAATTTTTCAGCACCTTGGTTGAAAGAATTGAAATATTGAAATGTCAATGCAATGAAAGTTTATTGAACAAATCTTCAATCTTCAAACCTTGAACAAACTGATTTAACTGTGAAAGATTAGATTAGTAGTTATAGAAATACCAGATGGGAATGCAGAAAAGTCAAAAAGCTGCAACATCCTCTTGTTGAGGGGTGGGATTCTACCAGTTTGGACTGGTTCTATAGAACTAGTTGTTATGATTCTGTGCAGTTTGGAGAACTGGCAAATTGTGCCCCTGCTTGGTTCCACCCCTCACCATCCACCTCTCCCCTCCCCGCCCAGTCAATCCTTAAGGTATTTCTTTCTCCGCCTCCTGATGATCAGCTGTTCTAATGATCATCTGTGCTGGGATCCCCCTTGCTGTCTTACTGGTTCACCCAGGAGGCTTCCCCAAAAAGGGGCATGCGGAGGAGGGGGCAGTAGGTTGTTGCATGCCCCCCCGCACTCCATTTTTTGCCTTCCCAGGAAGCAAAAACGCCCCCCCCAGGAGGCTTCCCTGAGGCCCAGAAGCCCAGCAGGGGGGTGCTGAAGAAGAAGAAGAAGAAGGAGGAGGAGGAGGAGGAGGAGGAGGAGGAGGAGGAGG